AAGTGTTTGCCCTACCTGTAACAACGATGTCCCTTGTATATAGAAGGGATATAATATGGGGATGAATGGCATGTACTTTTATCTTGGCCCGTTTATGAAGATAAATACTGCGATCTTTCACAATAATCTCTCTGGCTATCAGATTGAGGGTACTTTTTAAACATAACTGGTATTTCAATTATTGTATTTATACAGTAACATTCTTCAAACGTTCTCCACATACGTCCGTCAGATACATCGCGCAATACCCCTTTCTCTTTTGATCTCTCAAACGACTGTTAAAAGTTCGGAGAATCCTAGTCAAGTTGAAACATCTTAACGACTATTCCCTACTATTCTGTAACATGCACATTGTACCTAAAATGGGTAGAGCTTCCGTTCGGGGGAATATCAGAAGGACAGCGATACACTTGTCTCCAATGTTGTAGAAGACACTCCACTTACTTAGGAAAACAATAACAATAATGAGATATTGCATTCATGTCGGATTCAATTATTTCGGCCCCTATCAGATGTGAACTTGAACATGCAAGGTCTGCGTCTATGTCAGACTAAAGGTCTACGAGTTGTGTAGCAGCACTGGGGCGTAATAGTCATATAGGCCTGCTCCAAACAACGGAATATATATCTTTTGAGAAGGACTTTTCCGACGGGTAAAGGTACAGCAATGCAACATTACGAAAAATCTTTTTTTTTCACTATTTTTCATTTCATGTCTCACAGAATATATAATTTGATGGGCGAGAGTTTTTAATATCGTTCTAACTTAGTCGAATTAAGTCAAAATGAGTTGAATTTTGTGTCATGATGCTTATAAACATACACTTATTCATTTACAACCTCCAAAACATGAATTCTAAGCAAACTTAAACATTCTCGCCCACGGGCCACTGTTCGCCCATGGGGCGGCCCATTGGCGAGCGAGTTTAAATCTTAAGTTTTCGCAAAAGTTATTTTTCATTTTTTCATCCTTGGCATATATTCATAACAACTGCATGTTTAATTTGGTCAAATCACTTGTAAGAAAGTACCCACAGTGCGGAGAGTTTCTGGACTTTTGTGAGTCCAGAATTAAACTGTGACGTGTGAATGACATTTGTTATACTGTTAACACAGCGTGGCAAAGTCTTGCCGCCATCAGTAACATTTGAAACAGATACAAAATATTCATTTAATGTTTGAGCTTTATCCAAATCTGTAAAAACTGAAGGTATCCCAGAATCATCAGTGACAAGAAGGGGAATGGGTCCCGATGAAGTACTAACCACCTGATTGAGTAGACTGAGGTGATAAATAGTTATCAAAAATAGATTAAAAGTTTCCCTTGGCTATTCTTTTCAGATTATTTACTTTATTCCTTTGCTTTTTGTATTGAAATAGCTCAGAAGTATTCAGAGATCGAAATGCTTTTTTCCTTAGACGTTCTCATTTCTTTTAAGTATGTTACGAGGGGCGTTGAAAAAGTAGTCAAACTAACTATATTCTCGATGTCCAATGTTTGAAAAGAAGCTTCCATTCTATTTTGAAGGAATCATTAGCAAGGTCATATCCAAAATTTCATGTGGGTAATGTGGTTAACGAGATATTAGTCATCACAACATTGGGGTATTATGTTTCTTGCAAATTTGCAGAAAATGGAAAACGATCTCCCATTTGGTATCTAGTAATTTAATAGTCTGCTTATATGGCGCTCACATCCAGGCACATTGCCTGCTCACGGCGCTACGTACATTACTATCCCCGATCATAGGACACTATCGTAGTTTCCGATACTTTTTCAACTCCCTGGGGACTGTACAGCCATGCTGCATGTTAGGCGCAATGAACTAAACACTCACATTGCCAGCACATACTCACGGGTACCCATTTTACAGCTGGGTGAACTGATAGCAATGTAGATCTAAGTATCATGTCCAAGGATACTACGCAAATGTGCCCATCTCGGGAACCGAACCTCGGTGCCTCCTCGAAACGGGGCCTTCAGCGTGATAGGCAGACGCCTTACAACTGCACTATTGCGCTATCTCTTGGATAATGGTATACCCTCAGATAGTATCATATAAAATATGTTCAGCATAGTATTGGATGACTTCCCGTCATCATCAACATTCAAAGATTTGGATTGCTTGATTTACATTTAGACGGGGACTGTTTTTTTTAGGACACCCTCATTTTAAATTTTCAAAAACATTGTGTCCAAATATACAACATATTGAGAGCTGACACTTGTGTGACCATTCAGTATTTAGTTTGAACCCTTGACACCATGTATGAATAAGTGAAAACTTTAGGATGTGTTATATCCTTATGATGACGTCAACTGAAAGGGGGTGGGTACTGTCTCCAATACAAGCCCTTTCAGTAAACATGAAGGGGGAGTCACTTGAACAAGCGATAATAGTTTAAAATTGCTTTTTTGTGCAGTTTAATTATCTATGTTTGACTTTTACCAACATACAACATGTTTTTTGCATATTGTGTTTTAATTGGTGTAGGGGGATTCCCGCCAATACACCTTGATATAAAATTGGATCAAAATCTATTAATACTTTCCTAAGTTCGCGGCTTCCAAGCTTGGCATGTGCAAAACTGTTACACTTTCGCTGTGACCTTTAAAATAACCTCAAGGTCACTAAATACAAGTGGTGTCGGTAAATCTCGTCAATAAACCTTGGTACCAAATTTGAACAAAATCCATCATTTCTTTCTCGAGTTCTTTCAGTAAACCGAAGGGGGAGTCATTTGAACAAGCGATTGTAGTTTCAAATTGCCTTTTTGTGCAGTTTAATATCTAAGTTTGATTCTAGCCGACCTCTACCAATCTCAAACATACAAAAATGTTTCTTGCATATTTTGTTTCCTGAAGTTTAATTTGTGATGCATTTCATTGCTAGTCAGCAAGGCTATTCCATTTGTCCGAACAACAACATACGGAGACAGATCATTTAGCAGACCGGGTGCTGTACTCTGGAATTGATTACCTGAAAATGTCAGAAAACGGAAAATATCAACAGTCTCCGATGTTGTCGCAAAACCATCCTCTTCAAACGAGCATTCGACTAAGCGCACATGAGCAGGACTCTGGATATGTAGCGCTATACAAATGTCTAATTTGATTTGATTTGGTTTGATATACCCGTTAGAAACCCACCCCCACCCCACCCCACTTTATATTTATACATATCAAAACCTCAAAAGATATTTGCGAAAAGACATGATACAAGGACAGTAAGAGATTTTATATCGATTATATATCAGGACGAATATCATTTTCGTCATTTGGCTAAGATTTGTCAGTTCTTTCTTGGGTTATCGCGCTAACAATCTTTATATTGGCAAAACCTCGCCAATATACCTTGGTACCAAATTTGAACAAAATCCATCATTTCTTTCTTGAGTTATCGCCCTAACAAGCTTATTTGATGTATGAAATGCAACGAAAAACAAACACCCGCGTATTTACGAGTGATTAAAACTGTTATTACAATTTACGTAAATATCTATTACATTTTACCGCAACGAAAATTATTACAATTTACGTCAATTTTTATTACAATTTGCGTATTACAATTAACGTCAATTTTTATTACATTTTACGTTTTTGTTACGTCAAGTTACTGCAAGTATTACAATTTGCGTTTTTATTACAATTTACGTCGTAACACGGCGGTCTGTAATATGTCCTGTCCAGAGAACCTTAATAAAGTGGACAGGACCCATTGTAAATGTTGCGTGAAACGGTGTTAAATCTCATCATCGATGGTCCAGTGTTACTTCTCCGTTCCATTATCATTAATACCCTGAACCAACTCGCCATCGTTGGCTCGTTTTGGGTCCGGTATTAAGTTTCTAAACAGCTAGACTCATTCGTTTTGTCCACGTGGTAATGAAATAGGGAAACAGACCTTGACATGCTCTGTCACTGTTCTCTGACAATGATTATTTGACTACGTTAAATGCCTGCGTCATCTTTGGCAATGGACACGTGACCGTCTGGAGGAACATGGTGTAATTGTCCCAATATTTCAGCAGGTATCGGTGGTATCTGGGTCATTCTGGAAGAGTTCAGTAGAATAACATCTTTGTCGTGTATGGGGTAGCCGAAGACCCGGGTTCGATTCCCACATGGGCACAATGTGTGAAGCCCATTTCTGGTGTCCCCCGCCGAGATATTGTTGAAATATTGCTTAAAGAGGCGTGAAACCATACTCACTCACTAACTTTGTCGTGTGTGGTATATTAAAAGAAAAAGGGGCTTTACCTTAAATTTCCTCCGTGTGTGTGAAGAATGGAGAGTCATTGGCAGTATGTCAACATATTCTCTGAGTAAAAACAAACTCCAGGGTATATTTTCTAAAGATAAATAATTTAATTGGTTATTATACAAGACAATGGGCCCCAGCAGTGGTGCGAGGGACAACCTTGCTACACAACACAGTATTTACAATTTGTCGACATGATCCTCGGTACAACATTTTCATTCTCCATACACCCAGCGGACAGACTCGCTAATGCTGGCACCTGGCGGAGAAACTCTGTAGCAGCAGCGCCTAACGCATAGACTCGGTAACAAATAGACACCTAACGGGTGCATATTCATAAGCTGTTTTATAACATATTAAAGCAATCAAACAAGCGGAAAATATGAGTGCGATCAAATGTAGACATGCTCAAATCATACATAACCGAAAATTACCCGTTTACTGTTTCTGCAACTGTTAACAGATATGTACACAATAAAGGTATTATGTAACCAGTAAACTAGTGCCACAGGCTAATTTACATCCCAACAGATCTGAATAAAGCTGCGAAGAATATCGTTTCAGAAAATAAAGGATGAGTATACAAAAGCTTCATCCCCGTAAATATCCACTCTGCAGTAGAAAAGGAAAACAAAAAACTTCGGACGGATGCCGGACGAGTTCCAACCCAAAAAAACTTTCATATCATTAATACCGTCACGTGTATACCGTTAAACAAAACAAACGCACAATGCACTCCTGACAGCTGTGGAGGTTTTTCACACTGATGCGGTGTCAGTATGATAAAGATACATTTTAGAAACCTAATTGTGATGTACTGAACAAAAAATATTATTTTAGGGATATTCTGTAGTGGATACTGAGCACCCAATTTAAAAAATATCCCCCAAAATTTTTACGATCCGTAACCTTTTTGTCCAGTACATAACATAAGAAACGGATAAAGGAGAAACAAGTTATTATTTGAATCAGAACATAACTTGGAGAATGACGACGTTCTTTTCAAAGTTTAATAGACATGTATACGTAACTATGTTCATGGAACTCTCCACATGGTAGTCTGATTGTCCAGCAGCTGGTTGGCCAATACCGGCTAACGTACAGCTGAAGCTGTATTGCCCAAATCAGCTGTTAAATACATGCATACAGGGTAAGTGTTTCAGCCTTCTGGCACAGTGTTACCTCACAGAATAACATTGCAGCAAACTGTTACCTAACAGAATATCACAGTAGCGAAATGTTACCTAACAGAATAACGTTGTAGCAAACTGTTACCTCACATAATCACATTGCAGCAAACTGTTACCTCACAGAATAACGTTGTAGCAAACTGTTACCTAACAGAATAACGTTGTAGCAAACTGTTACCTAATAGAATAACATTGCAGCAAACTGTTACCTAACAGATTATCACAGTAGCGAAATGTTACCTAACAGAATAACGTTGTAGGAAACTGTTACCTCACTGAATGACGTTGTAGTAAACTGTTACCTCACAGAATAACGTTGTAGCAGACTGTTACCTCACAGAATAACGTTGTAGCAAACTGTTACCTAATAGAATAACGTTGTAGCAAACTGTTACCTAACAGAATGACGTTGTAGCAGACTGTTACCTCACAGAATAACGTTGCAGTAAACTGTTACCTCACAGAATAACGTTGTAGCAGACTGTTACCTCACAGAATAACGTTGTAGCAAACTGTTACCTCACAGAATAACGTTGTAGGAAACTGTTACCTCACAGAATAACGTTGTAGCAGACTGTTACCTCACAGAATAACGTTGTAGCAAACTGTTACCTCACAGAATAACGTTGTAGCAAACTGTTACCTCACAGAATGACGTTGTAGCAAACTGTGACCTAACAGAATAATGATGTAGCAAACTGTTACCTAACAAAATAACGTTGTAGCAGACTGTTACCTCACGGGATAACGTTGTAGTAAACTGTTACCTCACAGAATAACGTTGTAGCAAACTGTTACCTCACAGGATAACGTTGTAGCAAACTGTTACCTAACAGAATATCACAGTTGTTTTCTTACGGAATTACCCTGCTGCAATCTGTTGCCCAATGGACTGAATCTGAAGTAAAGTCTTACTAATGTTGTAGGAAATTGTTACCTTACGCAACTGTAGCAAACTCTTACGGAGTAACGTTGTAGCAAACTGTTACCACATGAATAAAACAGAACCAACCTGTTAGCTGGCTGAGTACATTGTAGCAAACTGAGTAACAAATGAGTAGCACTGTAGCAAACTGCTTTACAACTGAGTAACATTGAAGCAAACTGCCGTACAGCTGAGTAACACTGTAGCAAACTGCTTTACAACTGAGTAACACTGTAGCAAACTGCTTTACAACTGAGTAACACTGTAGCAAACTGCTTTACAACTGAGTAACACTGTAGCAAACTGTTACCTAACAGAATAACGTTGTAGCAAACTGTTACCTAACACAATAACGTTGAAGCAAACTGCTTTACAACTAACACTGTAGCAAACTGCTTTACAACTGAGTAACACTGTAGCAAACTGCTTTAGAACTGATATAACATGGTGTTGTCATGGTGGCAACAATGCACCAGACTGAACTGTTCCTGTTTCATACTGTACGCGCAGGTGATCAAATAAAATTATAATTGAAAATTGAACGGACCGATACCGTCCATTTTAACACCTATGACCTTTCCCTAATTCTTAGTATACAATTACAAGTTAGCAACGAGGTGCAGTATCACTCCGAACACAGTCGTGATAATAATATTCGAGTATTTTCAAAGTGTAGGTTGACCTCGTTTTAATAAAACATCGATTGTTTGTGTGTCATACGAGCCTGTTTTGTGTGAAGGTTAGTACGTGTGTGTGTTTCGCCCGTATCACGTTTCAGTGTGTAACATATGTCTCATGAAGTTCTATTTTCGTGTCGATAATGGCCCGGCTCCGAGTAATCTTTACAAATCTGGAAACTGAACGTTATCATATAACCAAATTACCAGCAGATACTTAATCAAATACAACATGATTTATGACGTTTCCATGTGATACTACGAAAGTCAAGGTCGTACAGACGTAGTGGAACAAGATGACGTAAGCCGTGGCGGTAGAAGCGTACAACCAACAATATGTCAGAGAGTGCGGGTGACGAAATATGGTTGTCGTTAATATATTCGATATCAGAAAGTTGATTAAACGATGCCTTAATACCATTTTAATACGTCATGATACAACAGCATACCGTAATAATACCACAGTGATGTCACAATTCAATAGCGACGTCATAATATTATGGTGACGTTTCGTTAAACCATCGTGCTGCGGCATTATACCACGGGATACGTCATTATGCCAAGGTGAAACGTCACAATACCATAGTCGTACGTCATAATACCATGGTGATTAGTCATTATACCATGGCGACACATAACAATAGCATTGGGATACGTCATAATACCATGACGATGCGTCGTAATACAATGGCGATTCGTCATAAAACTATGACAATACGTCATAATACCACAGTGATAAGTCATAATACTATAGTAATACTTCATCATGCCATGGATACGTTATTGGTATATAACCAAATGGACCAGTAGGTGTTCTGTAAATGAGTGCTATATTCAAAGGAATATTCAAAGCTGCATTGGTAGCAAAATAACACCCTTAATAGTGTTGCTTACAGAAATTACATTCCACTTTCAACGAATAATTGTTGATAGGCCGCAACAAATTTATCTTATGATCGGAAAAGTCTGATACTATCTCAATATTTCTCACATATAACTTCAATAGAAACGATAGTTTAATGATTCAATCTTTGGATTCGAGATTCAAGGACATTCCGACTATAGTTTGTTTCCTGCACAGACATATCAGTTACCCACACCTCTTTGCGCCACAGTGTCTAACATCCTGTATACCGTACTTCCTCTGATACCAGTTCTGTCATTTCAGTTAACATTTAGTCCTGGTCAGCATTTAGACCGTCTCTCGTCAGTATCCAGTTGCCAAGATCTTTCGACGAGAAGGGACGACAAGATGCATAAATTTGGTACACTTTGTCATGGGTACCAATACCAATAATTCGATCACCAATACAGGATAGTTTGCCAAATAGTCAATTATTTGTCGTATTTGTCTATAGAATGTCACTCCCAGAAAGGGGAGGGTCGGGGAGGGGCTCTATCCCTGAATACACATCCCTGTATCAAAAAAAGAAAGAAGTGGGTGGGATGACCCTTGTGGATCTGCGTATGAAGAGACCAATCTCTCATCCCCAGTCGTTATCCCGCGTCTCTTAATGGAGGGAATACGGTACTTCTTCCTGCGTTCTAACATACAACCCTACCTCTACTCAATGTTATTGTCAAACCTTGACTCCACACACACACTGAACCGTCTCCTTCAACACTGACGTCTATCTAAACATGGCTCCACAAAGTTACTCGTCGGAAGTTACACAACGTCCCGCGCTATCTCACAGTCGCCATGTTGTATCTAGGTGGCGCTGCTAAAACATGATTCGTTACCTATTGCCACGTGTTACACCTACCCGGATCAACGACGTATTTTTCACTCCGGTCACAGCACTACAACAAAGACGCACACAATTGTATTCCAGTGATAGAATCCGCTAATCCGAATCCTTGGCTGAAGCATCTGTGACTTCATGAATCCAGGTTCTGTTTCATGATCCACGTCATAGATGACTACCACAGAGCTTACCGACGCTAACACACATACTCAATATCTCAGACACTTATACGTCTAAACACCACTTCCCCCTGAATCTGAATATATCGTTAAACTAATGCACCAAATACTGATCCTACACTCGACACCGAGGTTTTGATTAAGAAACGTGTGTTCAGCAGCATTCATGACCAACCTTAACATGGCTCGATTTTCGCACATGGAACCTGCACTGGTGCAACCTCATATTAATGCTATCTTGCACCTAATGCAACCTCATGTTCATGCAATCTTGCGCCTAGTGCAACCTCGTATTAATGCAATCTTGCGCCTAATGCAACCTCGTATTAATGCAATCTTGCACCTAGTGCAAACTCATGTTAATGCAATCTTGCACCCAGTGCAACCTCATATTAATGCAATCTTGCACCTGGTGCAAGTTAATATTTTGGCTCACCAGCTTCATATCTTGTCGTGATATACTGTACGAATAACTGTTAGGTTGGAAGTTATGTATGCAGGAAGACTTCCGCGCCTCAGTTACCGTGTCTAACGTTTAGTTTTACATATGTACATCAGAAAAACGCAGCATTCTTATCTGTCCCCGGGGGTTCCCCGTTTACTGCGTGACTAGACACCGTGGATGTCACGAACCCTTTGACTTGTGGTTTGCTAACATCCGACTGACTGTTTGAAGTGGACACCTCGGAAAAATCCGAATCGAAAGACATATCAAAATCCTGCAAATCATCCTCGTTCTCGGGCCAGGGCCCTAGACTCTGGATAGCTGGTTTGGGAGACGGCATGTCAGGGTTGGACCAGGCGCCATCTTTACCGTCGAAATAGTAAGTGTGATCGTCTGATCCAGTTTGCCCATTGGCTTCAGAGAAGGTGAACCTCTGTCTAGCAGCGGACGGTTCGTGCTCCGAGTAGAAGGAATCATTGTGGTCGATATGTTCTACTGGTTTTAAATGTTCCTGGTTGCCATGGTTCTCATTATTATCATCATTATTATATTTAAACACATGTTGGTCTACACTGTTCGCGTTACAGTGAGGCGAGGCCGGAGGGCCATCCTCGGAATAACCAAACGTCCTGAAAGGCGTCAGACCGTTGACGTTCTCTGTTGTAGAGTTGTTATAGAAGCGACCGAAGCTTGTTAAGGGACCTTTATAATTCTTCTCGTACTGCCCTAGCTCCTCGTCGGAACCTTCCTCAGCGATTGGTTCAGCAACGCCGTTGATCGGGACGGTGTCAGACCGGCTGTCGTCAAGACCAGGACGATCTGAGATAGAGCTTGCTCTGGAGGATGACCTCGATGACACAACAGCTTGAGTCTTGAACACAGAGGCTTCAATTATTTCAGCCTCTGCGGCATCTTCGCTGACAGTGTCTTCAGGTTCTTCTCTGATGGATTCAAAACACAACCCTAAACCTCCTGGTCCATACCCTGCTGCGTAGTTTAAAGCTAGAGCTTCTTCAAAACCTTTATCAATTTCTGTTCCAAATTGAACATTACTTGAGTTGCCAGGATGGTCAAGGTGAGTTGTTTGTAGTGAGCTATCACCATGAGCAGACCTGGGTGAGAGATCATCCTCGTCCATCCAGGGCGGGCGTCTCCCCTCGCGGTATGGCTCCAGAGTTATCGAACGATCACTTCCGGGAGTCCCTGGCTCCTCGTAATGCTCCACCACACCAACAGTCACATTTTCAACACCGACATCACCGGGGACATGATCCGGGTCTGTAGTGCTCTCTTTGTTCAGCTCGTCCAAACCTTTACAGTCTGAAGTAACTCCGATCAACATTTCATCAAATGCTTCGTTCATGTCCATTGACATGCTAGTGTCGGCGACGGCGGTGTGTTGGGTGTCAAGGATGTTGTCGATGTCATCGTCCCCGTACGTGTTACTGGCGCCTTCACTCTCACTCTCCTGGTGACGAATACGGGGCATATTGTCTGTCAGGCTGTCATGATGATAGTCACTTGACATGTAATAAAGACTTACATCACTTCCGGTTTTTTCGCTTCTCACGCGGCTCAGTGCGTTTTGGCGAAGCCAGTTTATTTTCAGTCGGATCCTCGTCGCCATCAAAAGCTTCATTTACAAAAATGGCGGGAAGATGTTTGCGTCTCATCTGTTCCTTCCACTCCACACGGGAGGAACTGGACGCTGTCCGTCTCAAGTCGTCCCCCCTCACAGGAGTGGACAGGAGGGACTTGGACGGACTAGCGGGGGCTAGATTCCCGCATACTGTTCCTCCCACTATCACTCTGCCGTGACGTCACGTCGTGGCTGCCGACGTACTTAGCGCTGTTTGTCATAATAACCATCCCGTCATCTAAGTCAGTTGTCTGAGTTTCCAACATGCCGCCATTGCTGTTATCACCATGCACATGGTTCACCGCTCCTTGTATAACGTTGCCGTTAGCCCGGACAGCTTGCCCGTTGGCGACGTGGTTGGAGTTGCCTCTGTCGGTGACGACTGCTGTCTGTCTGCCCGGGACTCTGGACGCCACGCGAACTGTTTGACCGTCCACGTCCCGTACCTTTCTTGTGTAAGACTGTAGGGTGCAGGCAGATGGATCTGGAAGTACAAGAATGGCACTTATTTTAGCTCGGTACAGTATTTCACTATAGTGCATGTCAACTACTACATGTCAAACCTAAAATATTAATAATATTCTATAATGTTCTTGTATATGAGCACATGATGAATGAACATCAGAGAACTGAAGAAAATTATAGGCGACTCAAATCAAACATAGCAGTTTTTATGTTTATTTCCACTACGTCTTGTTTCATTTGTACTTTATTGCAGAAATAGACAAATAAGCGAGCCATGAGTAGTATGAAATAGATCACATTATATTACGTAACTTAGAAACATGATTTGAAATATGAAGTTCTGTGCCAGAGTGCGTTTGAACTTAACTGTTTCAGAAATATCCTTGAAAGACCCAAAACAAATAAATAATAAATTATATGTAATTATACAATTAAATATCAAATCAACTTATACTACTGTTCTAACTTTACTTCTTTGATGAAAGGTTAGCGATAGACAGCACAGATAAATTTTGCAACATAACATAAACAAGATGGCCGCCTTGACGATACTCGACAACTACACCCGAATCGGATAATGTGGGTTCAAGAACATGAATACAAAACTTCCGATTCCATACCATAAGCATGTTTTAAATAATTAATATGACCTTCCTTCCGTTAATTTGTTGAGAAATTCGAACACTTAATTAACAAAATGACATCCAAACACACCAACAGGCACTGCCGAGAGCACGTGCACTCGACACGTGCATATGTGCACGTGAATTACTTACCAGATGGCCTGAATGCGTGGCTCAGAGACTGCACATTCAACTTTATACTTTGTTCATCACAAATTAGTTTTGAATAATCATGAACATGAGCAGATATCGGAATATTAGTGTGTCGACAATAGTCATTTATCTTACCTCACACATAAATGTCGCTTTCTGATTGGCTGAGCGCTCTTCTACTATTTTCAATGTACCCCGCTTACAAGCGAATAACATGTCAATGTACCCCGCTGTCAATGGCAACTCATTTGGTACTTCGTGGTAGTAATTCTTTATCTTGAATAACATTGAATCACGTATGATGTACGGAAATTACCGATGTTTTGTGAATGCAGATCGATGAAAGGGAGATAACTCTAAATCTGTTTTTCTTGTCAGCAAAATCTAGCGATGGCTACAAAAAGATTTGTACCCGTGCTTCAAACAATTCAAAACTAACATTAAGGTGTTCGGTAAGATAAATACGTTGTTCACTGGTCCCTCGGGGCCCATGGGTTGATGTACCCTCGATGTTTGTTTATGTTCCCTGAGCCCGAATATTAACAAACATCGAGGGTACATCAACCCATGCCCCCCTCGTGACCAGTGAACAACTTATAATGTGTGGTCTATCCATGTTAAACTGCGGCATGGTATCTCAGAGAACATTAACAGTATAAAATTGGTCTTCAGCAAGCCCATGCCGGTCGTAAGAAGTGATTAACGGGATCGGTTGGTCAGAATCACTGATTTGGTTGACACATGTCATCGCATCCAAGTTGCGTAGATCGCTGCTCATGTTGTTGATCACTGGATTGTCTGGCCCAGACTCGGTTATTTACATACCGCCTCCATATAGCCGGAATAGCTGCGTTAAACAACCAACCAAATCAAATCAATCATACACAAGCGCGTCACTCTTTGATTGCGGAAACGTGACGTTAAACCCAATTTCATCTCGGATCATTTGGGTAAAATACATGATACGGGCTTTGTACTGAATACCAACGGATCGTGTTTCAGGTGGAACACTGGATCCATAACAACTGACAGCCCATCCTTCCATCTGTATGGAGCTGCGACTCTTATGTCTCCACATCAACGTCATGCATTTATATCGACATATAACCCGTACATCAAACTACGCTATATATATATTCTCAAGATTTCAAAAAGCGTACATATTATAATAATGATAATAATAATTCATTTATATAGTGCCTAGTATCCATCTGACTAGTTGCTCACTGGACGCTGTAATCAGAATCTGATTATTATTACCCCGGATAACCCAAGCTGCCTGTTAGGCGCTAGAAGGTTATAGTCACTTGACTTTATCCCATCGGGTACCCATTTTCTGCTGGGTGAACAGAGGCAATTTTGAACAAACTCACTTGCCTAAGGTGACACCACATGTATCACGTGCTTCGTTGTGGGGCAGTACTGAAGTCTTAGGCACTCTCAGGAGTCAAGCTGCCAAACACGATCACCCATCCAAGGACTGTTCGAGCTCGACGTTGCATAGCTTCAACTGATTTGTGAACTGAGCTCTACGCACAGGACCACACAGGATATAAGGATCAACCGATATCTTTCCTATCACCATTGTTGATATCTCATGGCAAATTTAAGTTTGTAACGAGAAGAAAATGAATGTTCTTTTACGTCTCCTGAGAAGTACATTTACAAAGAAAGAAACATTTACAAACTCAAAGGAATCGGGACAGTTGAAGTGTTGGAATCGTTTGTTTGGCGCTCAATAACAGATACTTACATTCGTTGGGTTACATTTTGTGATGTGCGGTGTATATTACATCTATTTTTGAGAGCTTTGATACGAATCTGATGAAGTAAGCGATCTATTTAAACATTTCACAATTACTTTTCTCATTATCTCACATTTTGTCATTTTAATATTTTCATTACCTATTATCTGTTTGTTTCATGTTAGAAATGAAGTAAAATGGGGTTAAGCGACGCGTATGCGCGTACTTGTGTGTGTCCGTGTCTGTCTGTGCGTGCGTGCGTGTGTCTGGCAGCTTGTGGTAGCCCGTCCAATTGGCTGTTTTGGAAGCCCACCTACTGAGACATCATGCGGCAGTTTAACATGGACTCAGAGCCGTACAAGCCTTGTTTTATCCCCCTGACCAGGCAGAGAAACAACAAGTACCACCTGTAACGTTTTTCAGTATGTAGAAGCTCTATCCACTTGCCCACGGAGGTCAACATCTAAAGGGAAAATAGAGACAAGAGTTGTCCCCCTGTTTGTTGTTTAACGCCACGCTCAGCACTATTCCATCTTATCTGTAAAACCTCGATTTGGGATCGGAAAATCAAGGGGTTGTTATTATGAGCAACGATCCAGTCGTAGTGCCTAGTCAACGAGCGAGCCCAACTATCCCTTCCATAAATTGCGACCCGTGAAGGTCCGGGTTGGAATATTGGCCTTCAGTAAACCATGCTTGCCGTAAGAGGCGACTATCGGGATCGGGTGGTCAGGCTCGCTGACTTGGTTGACACATGTCATCGGTTCCTTATTGCGCAGATAGATACTCATGCTGTTGATCACTAGATTGCCTGGTACAGACTCGATTATTTCCAGACCGCCGCCATATAGCTGGAATATTGCTGAGTGCGGCGTAAACCTCAACTCACTCAATTGCCTCTGTTCGGAGGTTCATATTGCAACACATATTCCCCACTGGGGCACATGATAACAAGTGACGTAAGACATTTTGACGTTACATGACATTCACGTGACATCAGCAGGTGTAGAAAGGACAGGACAACCTTAGGTGATATAGGTGATTTGACACGTAATAGTGACCAGGTCGAAGAGTGAGACGTAGTCGTGACGTAATAGTGACGTAACTGTGACGTGAGTCATGTATCATTTAGCTTGTGTCCTTATTGGCTGACGCAATAAGGGTACGAATAGAATCTTGTGATGAAAACGTTTTGTTTTTTAAAAGAAAAAGAGTGTGAAAAACTAGAACTAAATTTGTGGCTGAATATTTGAATTTACCGGGCGACTCACTTGGTCTCCATATTCCTCGTCTCTGATTGGTCGGTTCCGGCCACAGGGTGTGCCGGAAGTTGACCATTTGCGCTGCAGGGGTTATCACAGGCAGGTCAAAGTTCACATACAGAAGCAACGTCCGGTATATTTACTAATTTGCATAAATGATATTCCTACACATAGCTATGAATCCTTTTAGCTACGCAGAATACGACGTATGAATGATGGTCTAGTATCTACATCTACTAAACCTCCCAATCTGCCACCCAGCTACACAGAAAAGGATAGATTTGTATGAAGTGAGAAGATGTTATTTCCCTGCTGACTAATATCATCAAGGGGGAAATGAATAATTAACACGTATTCGTTAAATTACTTTTTCAAAATGTTCCACATAAATAGAGTTATGATTTAATAATTTAAAATTATTCTAAAATGGTTTAGGATTCACCTTCATTTTTCATAAATAATGATAGTTCCCGGATGTATTTTCTATTGCTGAAGATCTCACTGGTCGGTGACCATGTTGAAAGAATTAAGTAAATTCTTTTGATACGCTCCCTGAATATCTCTCAGCATTATTATAAGGTTTTTCTTCAAAAGATTTCAGTAAGTGGTTTGCCTTTGACGCGTTCTCAAAGATTCAAGTCAGTATATGAAGCGTGAGCTCTTCTTTATAGTATAACAGTTTGTAACGACTAACTAGTAACGACAAGATTGTCACACTTACGCGTGTGCTTGATCTTACTGAATGGTTTGAGAAAGCTTTGAAGTCCGCTCATGTCGATGTTATTTGACTGACTGACCCCCAGGTCGGTTAGTTCGTTGACTTTGCTGAATCAATATAAGCCGGGTGAAATCCCGTAGTAATTATAGACACACGCTACTGTCTGTTAGCAATAAACGCCCGCTTGGTCATTGGTAACGATTTCTATTATTTTCTCTACAAATGTCTCTAATATGCTAACAACGCAAAATCCCATTGAAAAAGCCAGTCCTCAAATGGCTGGTATTGAACAGGCCGTTGTCAATACCTCGTATTGTTAACATGAAACGATATATTTCATATTGTTAACATAAAACAAAATATGGTTTTTCATAGCTTTCATGTGTATAATAGTGACTGGACACCTTCACAGGGATGGATGCAGTTTTCGTGACAGTTTCGGAAGGATTAACGTATTTATCCATTTTTTTAAATATTTATACCGGATGTGTACGACACTGATAATTTTTCTATTTTCTTTGAGCAAAGACGCTGCATTATGGATTGACTGTGACCCGTAGATGACCTCTACCACATCATTGTCTCATCCCCAGCCAGGTCAGTAAAAGTCGAGTCGTAATTTTCAAGCGTGAGTATTGACCGAATCACTACTGGATTACCTTCTTCTTCTGCCGCAGAATCTCGGAGAAAGTAGACCTTCCATGTGTAGATGAGCGCGTGTCTGTAGCGTTTGCTGATGAGCCAGAATGCGTGCGGCAACGTGAGCGACTGCACCAGCAACAGCCACTGTACCACCGTCTGGACAAGAGCTGTGTTTGGTTTTTCAACCAGTTGGCCGAACTCGATCAGCTGTGGACAGAAACATATACCCTTCAGAAAACAACAACAACAGCAAATCATCCATGACTTCATAACGACATTAAAAAAGTATGAAAAGATATGTTCAAAATCCATGAACAAACATCTACATACATGGAACATCCAAGAACATTTGGAGCGGTGGGGTAGCCTAGTGGTTAAAGCGTTGGATCGTCACGCCGAAGATCACGCCGCATGTAGTTCTTCTACGTTCGATTGCCCACATAGTGACAATGTGTGAAGCCCATTTCTGGTGTTCCACGTCGTGATATTTGCAGGAATATCGATTAAGCGGTTCACTCACTCTTGCATATTTGACATTTCATCTAATATCTCCTTATGCAGGTCCGGGTTAGAATGTGCTTTCAGTAACCCATGCTTGTCGTAAGAGGCGACTAACGGGATCGGGTGGTCAGGCTCGCTGACTTGGTTGACACTTGTCATCGGTTCCCAATTGCGCAGATCGATGCTCATGCTGTTGATCACTGCATTGTCTGGTCCAGGCTCGATTATTTACAGACCACCGCCATATAGCCGGAATATTGCTGAGTGCGGCATAAAACTAAACTCACTCGCTCACTCACGGTTCTTAAAATGTCATTTGGATCAATAACAATTAAGGTAATGCACTGATTAATAATACATATACTATTTTCGAAGGTTTTTTTTCAAGTTGGGTTTGTATTTGCATGCATATTAATGACAACAAGGAATATAAACAAAACGTTTCATTATTGACATTCTTTGTGAGAATTATTCATTTTGTTGAAGCAAATACCGAAAAGCTGCACCCTTCTGTTGTTTACCTATTAATTCAAATGTTTCCAACACAGTGTCAGACAAACCATTTCTACCACCATTTACGTTAATAACAATTTGACGCGAAATTTGGCTGCTCGGGGTTGAAATATTTCCAAGGGTGAGACAAAACCAAGTAAATAAATACCGATGGTTTAAGGCCATGCTGCTGGCCAGTGAATGGAGAAAGGACACGGAGACGGAATCGGGGTCGTCTCAATAGACACCCTTGTCTCAGTTGACCGACTTGAGTTGTCAACAGTCTTGGTCAATACATCGGACATTGTGTCAACTGTGAAGTCAACATGGCGTTTGTCCATCTTGCAATGAAAATAAGAAACTGTTTCCTTGAGTAATTTCTCTCCGCTGTGTTTGAGGGTACACTGAAGCTTGTGGCATGGTGATAGAGAGCAAAACGGCATACACAGTCCAATGACCGTATTATTTCCCCTTCCGCCAAGCCCTTTCAGCAATACAAAAGCCCCAAATGAATGAGTGAATGAGACCAGTTGTACGCCGCTTTTAGCAATATTCAGCAATATCACGGCGGGGGGACACCAGAAATGGGCTTCACACATTGCACCCATGTGGGGAATCGAACCCGGGTCTTCGGCGTGACGAGCGAGCGTAGCCCCAAATGAAGTATGTCTACATTTCCGTGAGGAATCACCTATGTCACTGGTAGTCCTGTTTAATTTAGTCCTCAAAGTTATATACCTTCAGCGTCCTATCATTAACTGATAACAGACCTGTGCTGTCGTTGGAGTAAATTTTAATTTAAACCCATCCAAACTAGATGTTGTGTGTATGTGTACCCGGGAGTGTCCGTGTATCCCCGAAGTATGGAACAGTTCCATCGGGTCCACTCGGCTAGTTCCGTAACCGTCATCGTCACTAGATTTCACCAGAGACCATATCATAGCTTTGTGGATCTGGAACTGTCCTTGCAGCCCCGAACATGAAATCCTTCAGAAAGAGGGATCTTACGAACATCCACTAAATGTGCAAAAAGCAAGATGTTCAATGATTTCTGAAGAGAAGAGGTAGGCATGAAAGCCATTATTTCTTTTGCGATTCATTGTACATACGGACGATACAAGTGAAGATAAGATTGATATCTTGATTAGGTTTTGTGAAACAGACATTTTAATTTTGTTGAAGGACGGACAAAACCGATGACAAATGAGCTCACTTACAACGTCAAAGCAGCTGGAATCAAGGTGTTTGTTTACTAAATTGTATAATGTACATTTGTCAGTCAATTATCAACCTAAATACGCAGTTTCACCACATCTGTGAGTTTCAACAAAATGCGTCTTGGATCTGCTTCACCGCTGTTTCTTCTGACATTTATATGACATGCCTCGTGATGACGGCGGACTGATGCTGAGGTTTTTTCGCAGATGAACTGTCTTCCCATGGATTACCGAACATTGATAGCGAGTTTATATGGATAATTGTGACACAAAGACAACACAAGGAACGCGTGAACACATACAAATCACGGCTTACATTAAACTGGCTGGCGGCAAGGATTGACATAACATTGCAGCGCTGTTTTGATACAGCATGTGAAACTGTTGCGGGGAGGATTTCACAGATACGTAGTTTGTTAATGAGGATGGGAACGATCGGTTTGACAAAAGTGCTTGTGCTCAGCCCTGAGGCTTGACAGTGCATAAAGGCATGTTCGATAACACACAGCACGTTAAATCATGGGGCGCAAACTGAAACCAGAATATAGGCACGTGGCGAAAAAAACTAAAGACGTTGTATCCATCGTGTTCAGTGTCTGTATAGAACAGTACAATACCACTCATGTCTGTCTAGTGGCATTAATTCAAGACCCATTTCACAAATGTCTTCCTCCAGTGCCTCAAGTCATTAGTTCAAGACTAAGGTCACAAATGTCTTCCTCCAGTGCCTCGTAATTAAATCAAGACCAAGGTCACCAATGTCTTCCTCCAGTCTCTCGTAATTAAATCAAGACCAAGGTCACCAATGTCTTCCTCCAGTGCCTGAAGTCATTACTTCAAGACCAAGGTCACCAATGTCTTCCTCCAGTGCCTCAAGTCATCAGTCCAAGATCACCAATATGTCTGTCCAGTGATTAGTTCAGACGATCGAGTCACCATTAAATATTTATATAAATACTAGAATTGGTGCCTGATTATCTGCCATACGAAAATGTGCTTTTAAATATTCGACAGTTTTCACTTATGAAGATGGATGGACGGATGGATGGATGGATCAGAGCAAATATGTCCATGCACATTCACCTTCCATTTCTCTTACAGCTTTGTTTCCAAATGGCGGCACCGTCTGGGATGCGTTTTATACTCTACCTCATTGGACCTTATTGGAAGTCACTGGAAGTTATCAGTCACCCCTCCCTTGGGGCTAAAAGCGTTTATAACCTCGTGATAATTTAACGTTACTCTTTGCTAATCACTGCAAATGGAAGTCGAGGCTAGAACTAGTCTCTCTTGAGAATACGGTCCAGTTAAGGACATATGGAATGATTTGTACCGACAACAAAGTTGTACAAACATTATCCATGGAAAACAGATAATGAAACCATCATCCAGTTCGCTTTTGTTTCTAAATTATCTTATTTATCTATTTGTGTTTGAGGACACACCATTCAAATCACTTATCCGCGTCAAGTATACCAGTCACGGCAGATGAACTGCTGAATTGCACCTGTCCCGATACCTTGCATTACTGTAATTATTCTATAGGTCTTTTGTGTGCTTGACGCGGGGCACCTGCCTCGCGAAGTTGTTAATCTCTTAGGACTCTATGCATGCTGGTTATCGTGCTGGGGGAGCATCGATTGAATGCTCCATGAATATCCATATTTTTCTTTGAGTGTTATGATAATTAACGTCAAACGTGTACTTTGAATGGCGTTTATTTAATACAAATCGTTGCATGTCAATTGAAATTCACTTCAAATTACGAGATTATGTTTTGTTTTGTTTTTGTGTCAGGCACATGTTCTGCGTGATTTCTCTCTGAAAAGAGGAATAAACACGAACGCCACGCAATTTTCTTTCTACACATGGAGTGGAATGTTAGATGAATGCATGTTGTGACACTGCAGCATCGACTTTGTTTAGAAAATTACCACACAAATTAATGCACGCAAGACAAGACCCTTTTAACTTGATTCCTTTACTTTGATTCACAAGATTTCTTATCGTTCCCCTCTATATCCAGCAGGGGCGGTGGGGTAGCCTAATGGATAAATCGTTCGCTCGCCACGCCGAAGGCCCGGGTTCTATTCCCTACGTGGGAACAATGTGTGAAGTCTATTTCTGGTGTCCCCCGCCATGATATTGATGGAATATTGCTAAAAAGGCGTAAAACCCAACTCACTCACTCACTCTATATCCAGCAGCCACGAGGATATTTCTCTCCATCCACGATGTAGTGGACAGAACGTGTATCCAACATCCGATACACAATTTCCGTCAAGATACCAATCATATTTGGTCCATTTTCCGTCTAGGTACCAAATCTCTGATGCACAATTTCTGTCAAGATATCCATCATATTTGGTCCATTTTTCGGCTAGGTACCAAATCTCTGATACACAATTTCTGTCAAGATACCAATCATATTTGGTCCATTTTCCGTCTAGGTACCAAATCTCTGATACACAATTTCTGTCAAGATACCAATCATACTTGGTCTATTTTCCCTCTAGGTACCAAATCTCTGGTACACAATTTCTGTCAAGATATCCATCATATTTGGTCCATTTTCCGTCTAGGTACCAAATCTCTGATTCACAATTTCTGTCAAGACATCGAACCTCTTTCCGTCATAATGCCCAACTTCCAACGTCCAATTTCTGTCACCATACTCAGTCTTTAGTAACCATTATCCGTCAAGATACCCTACAAGTCGGGTCCAATATTCGTCAGGATCCCCGGCTTACAATACTTAATTCCTATCAAGATACAAATCATATAATGTTCAATTACCATCAAGATCATTTATAATTCATGTCAAGTTTTCATAATGACTCCCAACAGAGCCGTAATGTCCAATTTCTGTCAAGAGACAAAATATCTAATGGTCATTGTATGTCATGATACCCACCAACTCATGGCCAATTTCTGTCAAGATACCAAATATCAGATGTACAATGTCTGTCAAGATACATATCTAATGTCCAGTATCTA